GATACCAGCGTCGGCCTCGTATGTGAAACTGCAATGGAAAATCACAACAATGCGTATTGACAGACAAATGTATAAAGCACTTCAAACGCCACCATTTTTTTGAAGATTTTTCCGTTTGTAGCATGGCAGTAATTCACAGATGTACAACTGCCTCCCAGCTAACGTTTTCCTTTAAGGGGCTTCAAAATTATCCCTGTTTCACCCAGAGTCATTTTTAATATGGTTCTGGCTGCTTTGTAACACTATAGCACTGAGTATCGCCTGCTCTCTCACTTTTTGTAGTGTTTTGAAGTTGTTTAAAGTGCTGTGAACATCACACCTATCCATCCCTGATGAAAATGAACCGTTTTGATTCTTCAAATGCATTTATTATACAAAAGCATAAAAAGCAGTTACTTTACCCTTGTTGAAAATACACATATATACATACAAGTATAGAACCTGAATGTTGTTCAGTATTATCCTAATCAAAATATTCTCAAGTTTTATGAAGAAACAAACCATTGTTCATAAACAGCACTGGAATAAAACTAGCTCTGGCACTTAGTTTTTCTTTCCTTGACTTCCCTAACCCTTTTTGCAATACAGAAAAAAATCTTGAAGTTACAACTTTGGGAATGGACAAACACACATTTTCATGCTTTAAAAGGGAAGGGGGAGGCTGTGCATTAGCTGTTACATTGTAACTGTTACATCTACTTAATTCTGTAGCAACACAAATTAGCTAACCCTGCATAACTGACCCTATGCGAAGCAGGAGCACAGCTCAAGTCAGAGCAGTTTTGCTATAGTTGTATCACGACATTATAATTCAAATGTAATGATTGTAGCAGCTAAAATTAATTATAATAATCTAGCAGCTAATATTGTTGTGATATGAAAGGACATCAATTGTTGACACCTGTCTATACCCATGACCTGCCAAGAGAGAGAAGTATCTGACTGTGCACCCTCATTTTTTAAATCAGCACATTTAGGTAAATGAACTCCCATGCATGCCAGATGCTTGATCCTGAAAGGTTCAGTGCTTTCAAATCCTGTTGTGCTCAGAATGCACTGAGAACGCCACGTGCTGCTCAGGATTAGATCATGGATTTGTAGACCCTGTTGCAGACCTGAGTTTTTGCAGCTGCTTGTGCCTTAAGTGGTCACAATGTTATTAACTCAAAACTAATAATTTTCACAATCAATTTTCAGGCATTTATAGAGAGGAAAAAAATAGATTGCCTGCTCTCTTTGACTCCCATCTGCCATTCTTCAGTTAGGAGCATGCAGTACACTCAAGCCAAGGGCACCCTAGGGCAGGGGTCAACAACCTATGGCCCACAGGCTGGATGCAGTCATAGTTTCATAGTAGCTAGGGTCAGAAGGGACATGAACAGATCATCTAGCCCGCCCCCCTGCCACAGGCAGGAATGAATGCTGGGTTCACAAGACCCTAGACAGGTGATCATCCAACCTCCTCTTGAATTTGCCCAAGGTAGGGGCGAGGACCACTTCCCTGGGAAGTTGGTTCCAGATTTTGGCCACCCTAACTGTAAAATATTGCCTTCTGATCTCTAACCTAAACCTATTCTCCATCAGTTTATTACCACTGTTCCTCATCACCCCAGGTGGTGCTGGGGAGAAAAGGGCTCTGCCTATTTGGTGTTGATCTCCCCTGATGAGTTTGTAGGCAGCCACCAGGTCCCCCCTCAGCCTCCTCTTGCTGAGGCTGAACAGGTTCAGTCCTCAGAGCCTTTTAATTTGGGTTGTGGACATGGGACTTCAACAGCAGTTATTCCCAATGCCAGCATGGGGAAAAGCTGCAGCAGCAGACACACGTTAAAGTGGCAGCAGCAGGCACTTTCCCCATGATGGTGCAGGGAAAAGCAGCAGTGGTGGTGGGTGTTTTCTTCAACCACTGTGGAGAAAAGTGCTACCAGCAGCTGGGTCCTAGCACCCTTCCATCCTCTGATCTGAACTGGGCTAATCAGACCTCACAGCCTTAAAATGTAGCTGACTACATTGAATGTAGCTGACTAAAATGTAGCTACTCAAGGGCATGCAGATTAGAGAAAAAAAAAGCCAATTTAGGACTCAGAACAGATGAACTATCCAGAGATTTCATATCAAGGAGGGCTCATTCAAGGGATGGGGCAAGGTAACTGGCATGTCTGACTGAAGAAGAAGGCAAGTGCTAGTATAGGATGGAGTCTGAGGCCAGTGCAGGGAAGACAATGAGGAATAGAAAAGAAGGAAAGAACATTAAAAAATAAGCAAGAAAGAGACAGAAGCAAGAAACATCACAAAAAGCACAGGAGTGTGTATTTGAATTTGTAAAATGTCATGCATGCTAGTTCCCCCATTACTATGATCTCTGTTACCAGGTTAACAGAGTAGGGAACTCCAATAGCAGCAATGTACAAAGTATGAGTGACTGGTACCTCCTGAATCTGGGGGGGCACCCGCGGAAGCCACCGACCCTGTCGGGGGGGCACCAGGCCTACCGACAGCATCAGTGTCGGCCACCGGGGGAGGGGGGTACCAGCCCTGTCAGGGTGGGGCATGTGCACTCCTGTGCACCACCTACCAGTCGCCTATGGCACAAAGCATCTTGGCATTGTTGATACTTGATTAATTTTTTCTTCTTATAGCAACACAGAATCAAACACTTAAATTATGTATTACTTACTAAATATCTCTCTTCTATATCAGTTCTCTTTATGTTTCGCCTCCATTTCAAGCAGGTGTCATTAAAAATCAGCATATCACTGAAGACTTCCTTTACTGCAGGCATAGTAAAAAAGGAGCAAAAAGGCATAACTAAAAATGTTAGTAAAAGCTCTCCTGTAATATTATTGATCATGATTGACTGAAGATGGAAAACTCCAGCTTTTTAAGGTTTAAAGTTATCAGGAGAAGATGGAACCTCACTTTTTTTAGAGTGCCCAAGTACTTAAAAATTTGTATTAATGTTTTTTTCCAGGGAACGATGGCATGATAAAGTTCAAGCATTCTATTAAAGAGAATCCTTGCAAATTAAATGTGTTTGTCAAAGGTCTAGGAAAACGATTGAATTTTAGAAGTGTGAGTTGTCTCTCTTCTTTTAAAGGTATAATAAAACCACAAGTCAGATATTTCAGTTCCAAAACCAGCTCTAGGCCAAACAGGTATGAAAAAGAGGTGGTCAGACCAGAGTAAGGGAAAGATGGACACTTAGCTTCTTGTCAAATTGCACTGGAAATGACCAAGAAGCCATATTTTGATGGCATTTCTCAAACAGGTCTCCTGAGAGCAGAAGCTATATATATGTCACTGCAGGGCTACAGTTATCATTTGGCATCAATGTACAGGCTGATGAAGCTACTATTCCACCATAGCAATTCAGTAAGTGTTGAAAGATACTGCTGCTTTCAACCCAGCCTGCCTCCTTGCACCACCCAAGAAGGTGAAAATGTTATGGGACTGATTTTCAAGATTGCTCAGTAGCTATGGGTAGGGTGGTATTATCAAAACTGCTCAGTACCTAGCAATTCCATTATTCTCAGGTCCTGAAAATCTGACCCATTTGGTGCCTAAGTAAGACTTACTGGGGTATAAATTCTTTAGAAAATATGCCTCCACTCCATTAAGCCTGATCTACAGTATTTACTCAAATACAAGACAAGGTTTTCCCCCACAATTAGCATGGGGTGGGGGGGAAGCCCCTCATTTTATAATCGCATACAAGGAAATCTAACTAAACACATTGTCTATCATTAAACTGCTGCCAAAAGCAGTATGTGCCCAGCAGTGGAAACCAACTATGAAGTTGATTAAATGCAGCCAACACTGAGCAACACTGATAATTTCAAGGTTAATGTTTTTAAATTTGCTCCTCACTTCCATGTGCTCAGGGACAGCAAAGTCTGACAGTAAGGAGTAGGGGAAGGGGAAAATGTTAGGGGGAAGCAGAGAGCAAAGGGGTACCTGACCCCCCAGATTTATTTTCCCTGCTGTAGCAGCGGATGGGAGATAAATTATAGACAAACCTCCAATAATTAGATTCTATACATGGAAAATTATAACAAATTTATAAGTTTTCCACATATAGAATCTAATTATTGTGGGGGGTCATCTTATAATTAGAGTCATCTTCTATTTGAGTAAATATGGTAAATCTATCCCACTAAATAGGAGTTAGAAAGGAGATATTTCTCGAACTACTTGTATTTTTAAAAGGCTTGTCCTTGCAATGAACAAATAAATAATTGAAACATGGGTGACTGGTGCCTCCTGAGTCTGGGGAGGCACCAGCGGCTGATCGCCGACTCGGGGGGAGGGAGACCTCCAATGGCCAATTGCCGACCCCAGAAGTGCTGGCAGCAAAACCGGAAATGCCACTGGCGCTTCTCTCGGTGCCCCCACTCTCCAGCCGGCGCCAATCTCGGGGGGGGGGCACTGGCCAATGTTTCTCTCAGCGCCCCACACCCTGGCCAATCTCAGGGGGGGCACGTACCCCCTCTTCACTTCACTTATGGATTGAACATCCAGTGTTTCAGGTTTTGATGACCAAAAACATGATGCATGAGACCATTTTTGTTTATAAACCAAAGGCTATTTTTCTAGCAAAGGAATTGTACCATTCTTACACATAGCTTTCCTTAATATGGCACCTCAAAACCACATCTAACATGGAGTAACCATGTATCAATATGGTATTCGAAGGGAGACTTTTTATTGTAGAATACACTATATTTCTTTTTAGTGCCAGACTGAAGATCACCTAGGCTCCTGCAACTTTAAGAGAACTATTTGCTTCACAAGGGAAAGGAATCCAAATCCTAATAGCTGCCTTAGCATACTGGGTTATGATCATCAACCACTGCAAAACAAGAATGAAAAATGATGTAATGTTTCATTTCTTAAAGATGTGAGGTAAGAGAACAATGACTGCTTTTATACTGAATTAACTGCATTTGAACCAAGTTTCTTAAAATGAGACAACAATATACATGTCTACATACAACATTGTATTGACCCTTACTAGAAAAATTCTTATCATTCATGCTGTATCAGCAGTGGTTTCTCTCAACTTTTACCCTGCAGGTTGGTTATGTGTCACAAAGAACAATCTTCTGTTTCTGGAGTGACTTCATAAGTTCCTATTACAGCTACTGATGGAGAAGAGCCACTATGTAACCATCTCTCCCAGGCCTTAAGCAGATGTTAAAATGAGGGTTCATTTGGGATCCGAGGAATTTTATACTGCTTTCCTAAAATTATTAATCCTGCCAAGCCAGACACACATGGCAGGACATGCAATGTTTGGCATGAGGCATAAAATTCCTCAGATCCAAATTGCTCCATTGCAGGGCTGCCACCAACTGAATCCTACAGATGAGGCAAAGGCATCATGATAGGGACCTGGAGCTGCCCCTATCCCAATCTATAGGGATCAGGCTCGGGATAGACATTGGACCCAGAACTATCCCAGAGCTGGTTGCAGACCTGGAGCTGTCCCCAACCAATGGCAACAATCAATCTGGAACAACGCACATGCCACACATTCAATTTAAGGCATCATATAAACCAGCTACAAAGATGTTGTACATTACATGTGAAACAACTTTGTGGCTCATTTGCCATTTAATGGCACCAAAATTTGGATGAACATGTGGCATGTTGTAATTTATGGCACAATTAACACATTCACTGCATCATAAATTACAACATGCTAAATGTTCAGCATGTTAATCACACCATAAGTGTAACATCAGCTACAGGTCCTGGACAGTAAAGAGGAGAAAGGTATGGTGGGCTACACCGGCAGTTTCCTCTCCTGTTACCTTGTCAAGGCTTTTGAGTGCTACCCAACTAGAAATAGCATTCAGGGGACAAGCTACAAGTTTAATGGAGCCAAAATATCACACATTCATTATCTACCTCTACAACATATCCTCTCTGTGATTCTTGAAAGTCGCCAAAATACAACTCATCCCTCATTAAGTATAAGGATATTAACTACAATGCCCATATATCTTACTACAATGCCCATATATCTTACACCAGGGTCATATGAGGCAGCAGCAATGACCACTTACGTAGGCAGGCAGTTGAATAATCAGGGCAGAAGATGGAAACTAATGAGCACTTAGTCACATATTGAAACTTGGATACTTGCCTGGCCGCACTCAGCCAACAGTGTCTCTGTCTACAACAGAAAAAAACTGAAACAAAGCCAGTTTACTGAGTATTTCTGAACGGCCCTTGCTGTAAGTATTATTATGAGTTTTAATGACCCAAAAATGATGTACAAAACATCATATCCAGATCCTAGGCAGCCAGGTACAAAGTCTGCAGAAGAAAGGATAACAGTGTGTATAATGACATTAGTCACAGAATCATGGAAAATCAGGGTTGGAAGGGACCTCAGGAGGTCATCTAGTCCAACCCCCTGCTCACAACAGGACCAGCTCCAACTAGATCATCCCAGCCAAAGTTTTGTCTATCCAGGTCTTACAAACCTCCAAGGATGGAGATTCCACCACCTCTCTGGGTAACCTGTTCCAGTGTTTCACTACCCTCCTAGTGAGAAATGTCTTCCTGATATCTAACCTAAACTCCCTTGCTGAAACTTAAGACCATTATTCCTTCTTCTGTTATCTGCCATCACTGAGAACAGGCTAGCTCCCTCCTCTTTAGAACCATCCTTCAGTAGTTGAAGGGTGCTGTTAAATCCCCCCTCAGTCTTCTCTTCAGCCCAGTTCCCTCAGCCCCTCCTCATAAGTCATGTGTCCCAGCCCCCTCACCATATTTGTTGCCTCTGCTGGACTCTCTCCAATTTCTCCACACCCTTTCTGTAGTGATGGGTCCAAAACTGGACACAGTACTCCAGATGTGGCATCCCCAGTGCAGAATAGAGAGGATGAATCACTTCCCTTGATTTGCTGGCAAAACTCCTACTAATGCAGCCTAGTATGCTGTTTGCCTTCTTCGCAACAAGGGTGCACTATTGGCTCATATTCAATTTATTGTCCACTGTAGCCCTCAGATCCTTTTCAAATGGTATAATATATTTGTTAATTGAAAGGGCGAAGGGTTCCATTCTGACTGATAATTCATTGGGTTTATTTGAAATTGCTGATTCATTTAATCCCATTTAATCAGAACACAAGAATGTGTATAAAAGGATGTTGAACAACCACACTAATGGGGACCAACCCCTATACATTTATGAAAATATACCAATTGGTAACTGTAACTGTCATGTTTGCATGCTCCTCTAGTATAAATGTAGGAAACCCTTCTTTCCTTCATGGTTAACTGTTTACAGACAGTTAATTTGCTTGTACTCCTACAAGAGCATGCAGTGGTAACAGCCTCCCCATCAGTTAAAATTTACCTCTGCCCATAGCTGGACTGCATTTTAAAGTACTTTGTTAATGTATAAGGGAATTTAGAGAGGTATTTTTTCAAATTCTCACAAATAGCAAGAGATTTACCAATCAAAAAGGAGTAGGAACTCTTTGTAGAATTTAGAAAAGACACTGCACAGCAGAAAAAACACAGTGGGGTGTGGTTGTTCAGGGTTCACTGCATGTGAAAAGTAGGAGCTTTCCAGCTGGTCTGAGGTTATCTTATAGAGCAGTGTTTCTCAGCCTGTGGATCGCAACCCAAAAGTGGGTCACAAGAATATATGAAAGGGTCACGAACAAACTTTAAAAACGGATTCTCCTTTAAAGAGAAAAATGCGAGGAACCGTGGCTTTTCCTTTGCAGGCTGGCAGAGTTCCAGGCTACAAGGGG